TTCTGTCCATCTACAACTCCAAAAAATTAAAAAAAAAAAACAGTAAAAAATAATAAAGCTTCTCTAAATTATTTAAAGATTACCAATGCACTGGCTGTGATAGCACATGCCTGTAATCCCAGATTCAGGAAGCTAAAGAAGGAGGATCACAGGTTGGAGGCCAGCCTGGGAATTTAGCAAGACCTTGTCTCAAAAAATAAAAAGGGCAGGGATGGAACTCAGTGGTAGAGTGCCCCTGGGTTTAATCCCCAGTACTGCAAAAATAAAATGAATTAGTTAATTAATTAATTGATCTTTTTTTTTAAATGGCCAGTGCCTAGATTGTCCCATAGGGCTGCCCAAGGGAGTAGTTTGGAAGAAAACAAAAGCTGAGCATCTGTTATCCCCATCTGGGAAAGCTGAATGTGCTAGTGCAATTGCTCTTACCTTTGCTTCCCACTGAGGGCTTTGTTTAGAGGCTACACAGCTGAGTCTGTAATAGGAGTTGCTTCTGGGAAGGGAGTGTTCCAACTAATGGGCACATAGCATTGTAGCAACCTAGAAATCTTCCTTGCTGGCAGATCACAAACTTCCTTTCTTCATACATGTACAGGTCTTAAGACATTGTGAAGTTGAGAAGTTGTGGTTTCTGAGTGCCGAAGGCTTATCAGTTCCACCAATGTATTCATCACAGGCAAGCAAAATAAATGGGTTTTAAAAATAAACTTCATTTGTTTTCCTCTCTGGTCCTGGTTTGTGCTTTTTCCATCTTGTCTGGAAAGGCCAGAGTCTTTTAGTATGATTCTTCATCTTATCCCACCTTTTCTTATGCTCTCCACCTTCTGGCTTGGTCTGTGAATTTCTTAGATTTTCAGAGACACGGCTGAACAGACCCTGTGTTTCTCTGAACCAAATCAAGAGTCCTGGCCTCATCTGGCCTTCAGAGAGTCTTATCACTGCACATACAGTGTTAACACTCACTGGGGGTGAACCTGAGTGTTTCCTGAAAACTAGCCTTCTATGTCACATTCTCACTGTGCCAAAGAAGTGAACTTTTACCTCTTCAGACATTTTGACTCTTAGAGCTAAAGAAACTTGACTGCAAGATTAGATGTCAGCTTTGTTGCCCCCATATAGTTCGGAGTTTACCAGTTCAGTTTTTTTCCAGCTAATAAACACCTTAAATGTGAACCTTGGGCAGATTTAGCTAGAGTGAAGAAAAGAAGATATTGTGCTTCATTACACATGATTTTAAGATTTTAAAAGATGAGTTATGAAACAGGATGAAGCAGATGGACAGGTTTCCCTTTTGAGAAGTAAGAAGGTGTATCTTTAGTCATTCTCTCCACCCCACCAAACCTGATCCATCTCTTAAAGGAATCAGATGTGCTGCATGATGCTGCCCCCAGCTGGTTCTTTTTGGTGCTTATGTTACCACATCAGAAAAATTATTAGATTCTCATAGTAACTTCATGAATTAGGTGAATCAGAGGTTATCAAACCAACTTGATAGATAGGATAACCTAAGGAGATACAGCCTTTTAGTTGATTTGTCCAGAGTTAAATGGGGCTAGCAGGAGGCATAATTAGACTAGAATTCAAATCTCTCACCTCTTATCCTTTTAGGTTCCCCATTCCTTTGTAAATTCAATGTCATCCCCACCCTAAAAGCATTAGAGACAAATTTTACTCTTAGAGGAATCTGCCCCTTTTTCTACTTGGGAGAATATTGGAAATAATACATCCTATAGAGTTATATTTATTTTTTAATTCGTATTGTGCATGAAGCTCTCTGACTCAGTCACCACTGTCTTTAACTCTTCGATGTAATGTAGTTGTAAAGAGCTTTTTCTCTGGATCCAGATTGTATTGTCTTCCTGACTTGCCACTTAATAATTGGGTAACCTTGAATAAGTTGCTTAACCTTTAAATGCCTTCTGTAAAATGAGAGTAACACAGATAAACACTATACACATATTCCAGAATTAGAAAAGCTCTGAAATCTGAAGCATTTCTGGTCCCAAACATTGCAGGTAAGGGATACTTAGTCTCTTAGTACACTCACTTCATAGGTTTGTTGTGTAGATAAAATAAGATAATATACACGAAGTCCTCAGAATAGTATCTGACACATTATAAACACTTTATAAATATTAGCTGCAAAAAATTACTTGCTGTTGCCAAGTGTGGTGGCACATGCCTGTAGGCTGAGGCAGAAGGATTGAAAGTTCAAGACCAGCCTCAGCAACTTAGTCAACCACTGTCTCAAAATCAAAAATAAAAAGGGCTAGGGATGTAGTTCAGTGGTAGAGTATGCATGGATTCAATCAAAGAAGTGCTTCATGACTATGAAGAAATGACAAAGAACAACCAGATTACTTGATTTTTTTTGTGTGTGGGGGGGGGCAGGGTGTGGTACTAGGGATTGAACCCAGGGGCACATAATGACTGAGCCACATCTAGCCTGTTTTAATTTTTATTTTGAGACAGGGCCTTGCTAAGTTGCTGAGGCTGGCCTTGCACTTGCAATCCTTCTGCCTCAGCCATCTGAGCCACTGGGATTGCAGGCGTGTGCCCAGCACAACTAAATTGCTTGAAAGAGTACATCTTCATGTAGCTTTTCCATAGCCTTATCTCCTATTCACTCCTTTGGTCTTACCCATCTCACTGAAATTGCTCTGATCATAGTTGCCAGTGACTTTGTAATTGCAAATTTAGTGAACTCTTTCAAGCACATCTTACTTGATCTATAGCATTTGATACTGTTGGTCATTTCTTTTTTGGAATGTTCTTCTTGTCTTCGGAGATGACTTTCTTTTCTTTCTTTCTTTTTTTTTTTTGGCAGGGGGACAGGGGTACCAGTGATTGAACTCAGGGACACTTGGCCACTGAGCCACATCCCCAGCCCTATTCTGTGTTTTATTTAAAGACAGGGTCTCACTGAGTTGCTTTGCACCTCACTTTTGCTGAGGTTGGCTTTGAACTCTCAATCAATCCTCCTGCCTCAGTCTCCTGAGCCGCTGGGATTACAGGTGTGCAACACCACACCCAGTCTGAGATGACTTTCTTGCTTGGTTCTTCTTTTTCTGCTGCTGCTTTATATTTTCTTGTCCCTCAGGATTCTAATTTCTTACCTGTGTGTTAACCCTGGACAGTGTCTTGAATTCCTTGGCATCAATGACTGATTCAGCTCAATGTTGTTGCCTCCTAAATGACAGTCTTCTGCCCTCTTTCTCAATTTTAAACTGACTCTTTAAAGGCCATCTCTACTTCAGTTGCCCTACAAGTACCTTAAATTCAACATGGCCCAGCTGACCTCACGTTTTTTAACTTTGCTGCTGCTGCTTCTAATATTTATTCCTCTCCCTATATTCTGGATATTTAATAATGATATCCAAGGCTGGGGTTGTGGCTCAGTGATAGAGCACTTGCCTAGCATGTGTGAAGCCCTGTGTTCAATCCCTAGCACCACATAAAGATAAATAAATAAAATAAAGCTATTGTGTCCATCTATAACTATAAATAATGATATCCAGGTACCAGTAGCCTGGGATCATCCTATAGCTTTTCATTGTTCTTATCCCCCAATCCAGGCAAACATGAAGGGTTTTTTGTTTGGTACCAGGGATTGAACCCAAGGATGCTTTACCACTGAACCACATCCCTATCCCTTTATTATTATTATTATTTGTTTTTTTAAAGAGAGAGAATTTTTTTTTAATATTTATTTTTCAGTTTTCGGTGGACACAACATCTTCATTTTTATGTGGTGCTGAGGATCGAACCCAGCGCCCTGCACATGCCAGGCGAGCGCGTCACCGCTTGAGCCACATTCCTTTTTAATATTTAAGTTATAGACAAGGTCTCAATAAATTGCTTAGGGCCTCACTAAGTTGCTGAGGCTGGCTTTGAACTTGTGATCCTCCTGCATCAGCCTCTGGAGCTTCTGGAATTACAGGTGAGTGCCCCCATGCCCAGCATGAAGGGTTTTTTTTTTTGTTGTTGTTGTTGTTTTTGATCCTGCCATGTAAATATATTTTTGAATCTTGCCTTGTTCTAATGCCTCCTCTATCTTTTTAACTCAGAAGACTTTCTCTTATTGAGATTATTATACTACTGTCCTGTTTCCCCTTCTCTGTATTCTGCACTCTCATCCACCTATCATATCATTGCTAAAATGATCTTGTCTTTAAAAAGTAAATATGACCCATGTTAACTCCCCTGCTTAAAATTCCTCTTTTATTCCCTAGAGACAGGATAAAGTCCATGTATTTTAGCAAAACATATCAGCCTCACCTCCTTATTCATTCATACACTGTTTTTTTAATATTTATTTTTTAGTTGTAGATGGACATCAGAGCCTTTATTTCACTTATTTATTTTTATGTGGTGCTGAGGATCGAACCCAGTGCTTCATGTATGTGAGGCGAGAGCGCTACCACTTGAGCCACATCCCTAGCCCCTCATTCATGCACTCTTGCCACATTGAGTAAATTAGTTTCCTAAATACACCATGTACTTAACCTGTAATTCATGTGCTGTTCTCTTCTGTGTAATTATTCTCCTTTCATGCTACCCAGGTCATCCTTTCTGATTATTTCCTCTGACATGCCCAGACTAAATAAATATGTGTATCCTCAGCACTGCATGGTACTCTCATACCTGTTCATACCTATATTTTTAGTTTTTACCCCTTGATATTATTAGTCTATATCCCTTAATATATTGTGATCTCTTTGAAGGAAGATATCTTTGTGTGCAACACTGACCAAGCCCTTGGTAACTTTTTAAATATGGACTGGGGCTGAGCTCAGAGGTAGAGTGCTTGCCTAGCATGTGTGAGGCACTGGGTTTGATTCTCAGCACCATATATAAATAAAAAAATTAATTCCCATCAACATCTAATATAAAAAATAAATAAACACGTAGCCTCTATTTTCTAGGTATTTACTCTCCAGTGGTTTCATCTCAGCCTAAACATTTATGCTAAATGATAGTTGGTTTTTCCTTCTGTTTCACAGTATATCAACTCTGGGAACTTGGAACAGTTGCTAGACAGTAACTTGCATTTGCCCTGGACTGTGAGGGTGAAACTGGCCTATGACATAGCAGTGGGCCTCAGCTACCTTCACTTCAAAGGCATTTTCCATCGGGACCTCACATCAAAGGTATGAAAGCTTTACTTTCATAAAATTTTAAGAGACACCATCCTGTTTTACCAAGAAAGCCATAATAAGAAACCAATTATTAGTGAGTTTAGAATTATTGAAATTTCTTATAGATTTAATCTCACTATTCTTTTTTAAATTTTTTTTTTTAATAATTGGCAGTACTGGGCCAGGGTTGTGGCTCAATGGTAGAGCACTTGCCTAGCATGCGTGAGGCACTGGGTTTGTTCCCCAGCGCCATGTAAAAATAAAAACAAATAAAATAAAGGTATTGTGTAAAAAAATAATAATTGGCAGTACTGGGTATTTAACTTAGGGACACTCTATGATTAAAGCTACATTCCCAGCTCTTTTACTTTGAGACAGTGTCTCACTAAATTGTCAAGGTTGGCCTTGAATTTGTAATCCTCCCGTCTGAGCCTCCCAAGTCCCTGGGATTACAGGTGTGTACCACTGTGCCCAGGTTGATGCAGCTTTTGAGTACTTAGTAGGTCATAATGTACTGACCCATTTTCTGTTTGTGTGATTAAGTTTCTGCCACCCTGCCAATTCCTTTTTGGCATCAATTGGTCTCTGTAGTAGTCTCTTGCTGTCTGAATTTCTGTGTGACCAGGCTAGAAAAAAAGTTGCTTTCAGAAGTTGGCCAGGTTCCAAAATTGGTACCTCGGGGTCAAATAGCCCAGGATATCACCATGACAAGGGATATAAGTAATCTGGGGGAACTATAAAGCCATCTAATATACCTAATGTGACTTCTGCACAAGAGCCAAATTAAAATCTTTCAGGAAAGGATTTAATTTAGTACCTGACCAAGAATAGCTGTTATTTCATCCCCTAACCTAACATATACATATGCACACATACATAAATGCGTGTGCTGCCCCCGACCAGTGCAGGCAGCTGAACTAAGATCGCTCATGTGAATTTGCAGGGACACAAAATAAAACAAAGACACAATTTACCTTTACACAAGCTTCAGGACGGCCTCCCCAGCTCTCAGCCTCAGGCTCCCCAAAAGGAAGAGCAAGAGAAAGTCATAAGAGAAGGAACAGGATCAGAAGTGAGCTTTTATTGGGGGGGACTCTTGTTCTTAGAAAGTTCTATCCAAAAAAGGGCAGAAGGGGCAAGACTACAAGGGAACAGGTGAGTGTAACTCAACCCTAGGGGCATGCCCCACAAAGACAACCTTCTTGTTATCTGAGGTGGGTGGGGGTGGGGGACCAAGTCACAAATCATGGCACTACCAAGCCAGACTTCAGTGATTTTTCAGATCCCCATGGTGCATCAGGACTGGAAGGCTTGGTTACTCAATGTGGCTCCCCACATGCATGCATACATATTCCTGAACCCTTTCTGTTGTAAGAAAAAATTACCAAAGGAAACAAAAGCAGCTATATACTTTCAAAGTCAATAAGGCCTAAAACATAAGTTCCTAGCTCCTTCACATTGGAGTGGTTCTGGTGTTCTAAACAATAGTACTGTTCCTGAGAGACCATGGCCATTGTCTTAAAAACTACTGTAGAGAAAAATTGCTTTAAGGAGGTGATCATAAGGCTTCTGGGTGTGGCAGAGGCATTTATATGCAGCTGTACTCTTCCTGAAGGAGCACAAGACTAGGAAGTAGGAACTGAGAACCAACTAAGGCCTCATTATGAAGAACTCTTTATTTATATTAGACCTGTAAGAATTGAATATTTGGTCAGTTTGGATCTGGAAGGCAGTATCTTATCCCTTCCTTAGACATTATTCTCCCTCCAGAATGTTTTGGAAAATCAAGAGTAAGAAAACCACATGTGGGCTGGGGATATAGCTCAGTTGGTAGTGTGCTTGCCTTGCATGCCCAAGGCCCTGGGTTCAATTCCCAGCACCACAAAAAAACTCTGCACATATTCCAGGCAAATGTGTGGAATGGGACACTTTAGATATTGTCTTAAGTTGATTTTGTCACTTTAGGCATCCAGCCAAAACAAGATCTTTGCTTCCTACTCATAGAGGGCCATTTCTTCTAAGCTAATAGGAATTTGTGACGTTATTAATTAATCATACAGATAGGTATTTTCCCTATACCTACATAAATGTCTCCTATGTCTGGCTCCATGGGTGAAGGAATATTAGAAAAGGAGGATTTCTGACCTAGAGGTATTTATACTTTTGTTGGGAAATAACTAAAGAACAGTATACAGCATTTTAAAATTGAGTGTTTAGCTACATAGACTATAGTTTTCAGAGCACGGGAGATCATTCTAGACCAGGACTAGACTTTCTGGAAGAAAGCTCACCTTTAACAGTTCTTCATATTCTCTTCTGTACCCCAAAGGCACTTTGTCCAAGTGTGGTTCTGTCTGTGCCTATTGTGTTGTGCTATAAAAATGAGTAACTTTTTTTACTATAGGGTAAGACCACCATCTCTGGTTTTCCTTATAGGAAGTGAGTATTTCCAGTGCCATTTGACTTGGGAGGAGAAACTAGGAACTTAGGAGAAATAACTCCATGTATCTGGGCTATGCTTCATTGGGTCTAGACTTTAAGGAGATGCTGAGTATACTCCTAGGTGGTGAGAACAAGTGATTTTTGAAAGCTCTACTGGCAGGTTGGGAAGTAAATTGTAGGGGATCTCAAACTGAAGATTATCAAGAGTCTTATAAACCAGACCATCCAATTTAATGTATTATCAGTGTCCTCTTATAATCTCTGATTATTTTCTGGGAAAGTTTTGTCTGAACATTCCAGCATCAGATTAACTGTATTGCAAGGACTAAGGAGAGAACTGTATGTTCATGCCCAGACCAGCCCCACCAAGGACACCTGTATGGCAGGGGACAATGACCATAAGAACTAGAATCCCCAAGGGAGAATTAAGTCTAAAGGGACAGAGTACAGGGCTTTGAAGTTTTCAAATTATGTCTTCATTATCAACCTTGGGTTTGAGTTGGCTTTCTTTTAAGGATGGTGTCAGGTTTCCTTACATTTCTGTGGTTTACACTTCATAGTATTTGATTATTCTGTTGTGTTTCTCAAGTATTCCTCTTATTTGCCTTTGTAAACAGTTTTCTGGCCCTGTTTCAGGGAAGGGACTGATAGCACAGAGGCCAAAACATCTATTCAAGAACTGAGATTTGGGGTTCCAGACCAAGTTTTGCTCCCTCTCTTCTGATGTCTTCAGTGCTCTTGAGACCTTAAGTGTTCTATCTGCAAAAATGGATTCTGTCCTTGCAACAGTAATCAATTCAGTATTCCCAGATCAGAGATAACAGGAAGATTGGAAAATAGTGGGAATGTCAGCATGGTGGTGCACACCTGTAATCACAGTGCCTCAGGAAGCTGAGGCAGGAAGATCGAGAATTCAAACCCAGATTCAGCAAAAGCAAGACACTAAGCATCAATGAGACCCAGTCTCTAAATAAAATACAAAATAGGGCTGGAGATGTGACTCAGTGATTGAGTGCCCCTGAGTTCAACCCCTGGTACTACACACAGGCTTTTACTGGTGCTCCAGTAGCAACCAGTAGAACTGTACGTGAGCCTTGGCTCTTCAGGATAACTGAGAGAACAGTTAGTTTCTGCTTAATTCTGTTACTACCTGGCATCAGGAAAGCACTACTAATGATCTGTGGCTACCCTTAGGAGATTGTGCATTGTGAATTGTATCTCTAGCTCTTGGTGATTATTGTTCTTTTTTTGGTGGAATTAATGTTGACTCCATTGAAGTCACCCTGTTGATTCCTCCTGAGTGAAAAGCCTATCCATGTATGGTGTAGGCCACACAGCTAGAAATAAAAAATGCTGGTTTTCAGGGTAAAGAGCATGAATTAAGAACAAATGGTGGTTTGGGGTTGTAGCTCAGTGGTAAAGTGTTTGCCTAGCACATGCGAGGCACTGGGTTCGATCCTCACCACCACATAAAAATAAGTAAATAAAGGTAATGTATCCATTTACAACTAAAAACATTTTAAAAACAGATCTACAGATCAATGCACACCTGCAGTCCTAGTGGCTCCCGAGACTGAGGCAGCAGGATCTTGAGTTCAAAGCCAGCCTGGGCAATTTAGCAAGGTCCTAAGCAACTTAGCGAGACCTGTCTCTAAATAAAATATAAAAAAGGGCTGAAGATGTGTCTCAGTGGTTAAGCACCCCTGGTGCCAAAAACAAACAACAAAATAGGGTCTGGGGGCTGGGGTTGTGGCTCAGTGGCAGAGTGCTTGTCTTGCACACTCGAGGCCCTGGGTTTGATCCTCAGCACCACATAAAAATAAACAAAATAAAGGTATTTATTAACTAAAAAAAAAAAAAAAAAAAAAGGGTCTGTGATGCAGCTCAATGTTAGAGCACTTGCCTAGCATGCATGAGGCTCTGGGGTCAGTCTCCAGCACCACAAAAAATAAAAGACAGAAAAAAGAACAAATATGAATGCTGGAGGGATTTTAGGACATCTTGGAGTTGGGTTTTTTTTTTTGTTTGTTTGTTTGTTTGTTTTGTACCAGGGATTGAACCCATGGGTGCTTAACCACTGAACCCTTTTTAATATTTAGAGATAGGGTCTTGCTAAATTGCTCAGTACCTCGCTAAGTGCTGAGGCTGTCTTTGAACTTGCAATCCTCCTGCTTCAGCTTCTTGAACTGCTGGGATTTCAGGCATGCACCACCATGCCTGGATGGAGTTACTTTTTATAATGAGAATTATCAACAGTTTCAGGGAACCATTTATACTGTGCTATCAGAGGACACAGTTTTGGGGACATAGAAATGACTGAAATTCAGTCTTGTAACCTCCATGAGCTCTTAAGTCTAATCAGGGGGATAGATGTCAGAGCAGATCATTCATTACACAGGCACCAGGGGTAAAGATATAGGATCATATGGTGTGATGGAGGGCAAGAGATGGAACATACTACAGCAAAACAGAATTTTTTTTTTCAGTACCAGAGATTGTACCCAGGGTCGCTCTGCCACTGAGCTGCATCCCCAGCTCTTTATTTTTTTGAGACACAGTCTTGCTAAGTT